CCCAGGCTATAGTCGGATAAGATAATTTTAAAAAGTAGCAGGTCCCCTACCTGCTATCAAGTCTTTACTTCTAATCTATTCCTAGAATGAGCCACTTTTCAGCATACCGGAGTCTGCTCAGTATATATTAAGTGGCATTCAGGAAAGTGCTATATCGTACGACTTAAGTGGAATCTTTGCCGAGGAAACCATGAAGATAGAGCCTTAAAGCAGCACCTTAGTGAAAATCTCGGGGTGTACGCGTTTCTACATGTACTTATCCTGTAGCTCACTAAAATTACCTTCTGCCCTCTTACACTGGCCTATGAGCCTGATAAATGCACTTCAGCAACCTTCTGTGTATATATGGCTTCTTTCAAGTCCTGTAGAAATCGAAGCTGAATTGGCCATCCTCCTCTCCTTTTTTTCTGTACTCCTGTCTGAAATGAACCCGATCAACTTGACCAGATACGAAGTCATTCACCTCTTATGCGTAGCCTTTCGAAATATTATTTTTTTAAATGCTGGCGGTTTCCTTCCGTCTATGTCCATTGACATATTTGTCTTTCTAGGTGTCCTAAGTTTTCTTGCTCGAAATTTTATTTGGTTTCTTCCTCCTCGCACAAAGTGCTCCTCTTCAGTATAATAAGAATCATGCAATCTGAAGGTTATCGTTTTTATCTTATCTAAAATAAACTTAAGGAACTAAAGTGGTATCTGTTTAACTTTAATTCATTTTGTTTAGGAAAACATCGACGCCTTTAAAGAAGAACACATATTCCGCCACGTCGCGCAGAAGGAAGTTGAAGAAAATTCGTATCCTTTCTTGTAGCTGCATTTTGTCGTTCCTCCCAATTTTTCTATTTACAAGCTGTTTTCTCCCAAGTTTTCGTACGCTAGTACACAGACTAATAGAAATACCTTTATCCAGGCACTTTTGGTGCTTCATGTACGCAGGCGCACCCTAGAGCCTTTCTTGGAATCGAAACCCAATAAAATCGTCTGAGGTTATTCATTGTGACAACCAATGGAACAGAAAGTCAGCGTGAGGTTCCAGTTTGATATTTGAAGAGACCAAGCTGACATGCACCCATTGACAGGGCCAATTAAGGTTCCGGCGGCTCAGGATACTCTTCATAATAAACAAAGCTCCTGTACATGTACAGCGAGCTTTTATGAAAATTTTATTGCTTCTCAGGAGCACGTGGGAGCTGGGACTTCTTAAACATGCATACTATTTATCGATTTGTAAATTTGTAGAGGCCTTTACTGTTTAAAGTTTTGGGAACTGGACTGGCACTCTATAATAAAGCTAGAGGTTATCAAAGTACGCGTGCCTAAATGGTACTGTTTTATTTGGTTTCGATAGTAATGCTTTCAGAGTTATACATTTGAAATAATAGAACTGTCTGGCGTTTTCTACGCACCAAGAGCGTTATCTTGACAAGCAAGGACTCTTCAACAAAAGCGCCGTCTTTATTTATCTGTGGATATGTTTGAAATCCGCATTGCTCACGAACAGAAGCATACATAAGCTGCGCGCAAATCTGCTCTATTGTAAATTGATTAATGTGCAGGTCAACTCCGCACTCATTGACACAGTGGTGGTCCTCATCACTTGCAGCTGTACTGTATCTCAATCCCAACCTACCACTGCTTGCTCCCAGTCCACCGAAGTGGTCAGATTTGCACTGTTGTCCCCCTACTTGTCAACTTAAAGTGCCAATTCTTCCTTCTGTTTTGTTCATTTTCTGAGTGCGAAGTGCATGGCAAAACAATCAAACTGGACCAGCTAGTTAGATGGGGTTTGCTTTTTGTTTGAGATGGACCTCGATCGCTGCTTGTTTATCGTCTTCAATTATGGCGCCCAACAGTTTTCGATTTACAGCCTCTCTTTGAGCGTATGTCTACTCAACTTATTAGTATCCTCTCACTGCTGTAAGACAGATGGTTCAGAAGTCTAGTCAGTATACTTCCAGTTGACAACTATAATGTGATCCGCTGATGCCTCTTTTTAGCGCTGTGTTCTTTTCTTTGACTCTAATGTACTCTAACTCCTTGCACCAATAAAGTATGGTAGAGTGGCTGGAGAGTCTCTGTAACCATACCTTCGATTATCGCGAGGATGGTCCCCCAAAGTTTGCTTCCCGAAACTTGACGGAACAGGAAACGGCTGGCGGAAGTGGTGGCGATCACGCTGATGTTTTGTCTTCCGAAGCCGCCCCTTCTGAAGTTTCAGCTGCTACACCATCCACAGACACAGCTGTTCCCCAGCCGTCCACCGTAAATGCAGCTGTAAACTCTGTCAGTCTTCAGTGATTGTTTTCTTAAACTCTCTCTCCCACCAAACCCCCTTTTTGGAATGAGTTAGTGCGCCCATTCAGCCTGCCTCTAGTATTTTTAATATGCGGACCACGATGCAAACTGTGAAGCCATCCTTTTTCAAGCATTTTTACATAGAATACCTGCTGATCTAGTTGCTCATACGTTCATTTTCGTTGAGTGATGGGGTGTTTGTTTCGTGCGTTTGCACAAATTGAAAAGTAGGACTACGGGAACCTGCGTGTCCAATTTTATACCGGTAGAGGAAGATCTCATTGAAGGTGAATACTGTTTGGCGTAGAAAGACATGTCTGACTCGTTCGCGGACACCTGGTAAGATAGGACTGTACATGTCTTAACCTGGCAGCTACATCCAATGCGTGTCTTGCAACGTACGGACAGCATTAAAATGCTGGAAGATGATTTAATAGCCTGTCAGCCACATGTGCAAGGCTTACTCAAAGAGTGCACTACTTAGGTGCTGATCCATTTTCTCCCATGTCCTCGAGCCTACTGTGAATAGAAAATAAGATTTAGATCACAATATTATCAGTTGTGACGCTTACATAAGTCACTTTTATAAATATGCCCCTGCTACAATGTCCTAGTTACTTATTTGTGCCTTTGGAAATACTGCCAATCAGAGCGTATTTACGCTAAAATGTACCTCCAATATTTAGGAAGTCTTAGTAGTATTTAAGTGTAGGTCATGCCTCCCGCGTTTTCAGACTCCCAATTATTATTATATAATAATACTAAATATGTGTTCGTGAAAATGCATGAATATCGGTAGAATTACGTAATGATTCTTATCCTGCCGTTTCCTCCAAGTCATATCGACTTACTTTCGTCTAATAGTGGTACTACTTCGTGTGGCATTCGAACCTACGACAGCAAGTGCAAGACCTGTATACAATCAACATCATAATCGCCTGAGCTACAATGACCCTACCGCGATCCGTTAGTTAAATCACACTTGGGTCAAGCTACCCGTCCGGCCTTGTGCAAAGTATGTAATCCATCAACGCTGCTAGAGTTACCTGACTGACAAAGCAATATTCCATTTGCAATCAATCTAGAATCCGCCAGATGATAGCTGAATTGTTTTACAATGCGTTATACCATCTGCCAAAATCACCAATTAACAGTATTTATGCCAATCTTCATAGTACGCTAGCCTTAGATTACTTCACCGATTTAAACTGCAGCGGATTTACAATAAATTTTACTATAGAAACTGGTAATAGTCGTGCTCCGTTTCGAACTCTCCCCAAGTCATGTTTAGGCGTTTTTCTGTCCAAAAAAACCTTGTTTATCCACACTTTATTTCGCTCCCATTTTAAGGTATGAGGGGGTCGGATAGCCTGGACGTGGACCTTATTTGCGTGAATGACTCTAAGCATGGCCAACAACAGCTTCTGAGATTGCCCGCTTGCAATGCGCGTATTTGCCGTTTGTTCTGATTTATGGCATCGTTTTACAAAATATGGCGAAAAAACATCGATTAGCTGCCCTAACCATGAATATACACTCAAAGAGGCACTGTCATTAGTGCATGAGGTGCATTGTTCTTTCAGTTATGTTTATCTAGTTTCTGAAAACGTGAAGTCAGATGAAACGGTCTTAGCGTTAAGGGTTTAAATTTAGATCCAAGTGTTGATGGCTGTTTCCCACATTTCAACTGGCACAAGGCAAAATAATTTTTGCAGGGATGTTTTTCTTTTACAGACAATGTAAAATGAATCTTCAAACTCAGATGTAGTCATTTAATTGCGCATTTTCTCACACAGAAAAGTGCTGGAATGTCCTGGGAGTCCTTGATCCCGATATTTCTTGCACTGGTCAACAGTGCCGCCCTGTTGTAACTTCTAATGTCATCTGCTCCACCACGGTTGGTATGAATTGTGGGTTTTTCTGGCGTCTTAAGGCGCCGATTTGGTGGAAGACGAGAGTTTTGGATAGACCACTTAGTCAGGCATTGTGGCTCGTGTATCCCAATCGACATGGTTCCGTACTCTCGTCCGCAAATGTAGCAAACAACAAAAGGTCGATTGATCATCGTTTTGGTTTTTTCAGTGGAAGCACGAGCGACGGATTGTGCGCTCTCGGTGCTCTGTACTTGGGATGGCTCCTTTCTGATATTATTTCTGTTCGCCTGGACCGGTGTGCCACAATTGCTGCAAAACTTCGCCCCAGGAGTCAGGGCCTCCGCACAGTTCCTACACTTTCTCTC